CTGAAGGAAAACTGAGTCACAGGAATCCAGAGTCCAGTGTAAAAGACATAGACAATCAGCATTGTATTCTGTTCTAAGAGAAGGCAAAGAACTGGGGATACTGAGTGATAACAGAAGAGAGTGCACAAAGGACAAGAGGTGCTCTAGGCAAGTTTTAGACTTCAAGAGCCAATCTCCAAGGTAGGAAGCTCTCTGGGTCTACCCATCCCAGAGGAAGGCTTAGAACACTTACTAGGATTTTGCCCCTGCTGCCAACCAATCCTCGGAAGGAAGGTTGGGCAATCTACTTCTGAAGTTATACTGCCTCAGAAACCCCAGGAAGGCTCACTATGAGGCGGGTCTGACTAGACAGCATGTAACAACAAGAAGCCAACCAACCATTCGGAAAGTCTCCATCGCAGACACAGTTGCAGCCTGAGCTGTGGCCCTTCTGCCCAGCCATGCACAACTCATCCCCCTGGTTCAGCACTCTGGGTGGGTTCTCATCAGAAGAGCATTCTCCCTCTTTCACTGAAAAATCATATAAAGTTGACATTACTGGCCAGGCCTTGAGAAATGGAGAAGAATGGAAGCCAAACGTATTTCAAGGACTTTCAGCCACTCCACAGATTCCTATCCACAAAATGTTCCAACCACCTTCCCTTCCTCCCCCTCAACCACTAACATGAGTCTACCACCGCTAAAGGACCAGCTACTCTGCAGATAAAGGGAAAGTGACAGGCTAGGGTGATACTGTTCTCACTTAGGGAGCAACACAGAAAATCTAAGGAGCTCTGATGGTGCAACAGTTGAGCACTTGGCTGTTAACTGAAAGGTTAGCAATTCAAACCCACAAGCAGCTCCTCAGGAGAAAGATATGACCATCTGCTTCCGCATGGTTACAGCCTAGGAAACACTATAGGGCAATTCTACTCTATCACACAGGGTCACTAGGAGTTGAAATCAACTCAATAGCATCTAACAATAACAACAGGGGAAAGCTGGAACTACTAGGCACTCCAGTTGGAAGTCCTATCTCTTTATCCGAAAGGGTGAAGAAAACCAGAAAGACCT